TGGTGGCGCGTGTCTGAGGCTCCAGCTACTCGGAAGCCTGAGGCAGAAGGATCACCTGAGCCCAGGCCGAGGCTGCAGTGGCTGCACTGCCCTCCAGCCTGGACAACAGAGTGAGACTCTGACAAAAAAAAAAAAGAGGGAAAACAGAAAGGAGGAGAAGCATACACAAAAATGTGTGGAAGTGGAAAACATGGGGCCAGGATTCAGGTGAGTGTGAAATGTCAGTGTGCTTTAGACTGACGACCTTGGGCCCTGAACTTGACCCACACCGCCCATGCCTCCACGTTCACCCAGAAGCACAGGGGAGATTCGGAGCTTTTATAGAATCTGTGGCTCTTGAGGCTGGAAAAATCCAAGGATGGCCCCGGGGACCCGACTTCAGAAGGAGACCCTCCGATGGGGCTGCCTACCTGCCTGGTGCCCTCCTCATGCCCTCCCTCTCCTCCCCAGCAACTTATGAATCAGTGTTTTCACTCCACTTTGTCCAGCAAATAAAACCCCACATGAAATAGAAAATTCACTGGGTAGGTAAGCATTCTCTTTTCTTTCTTTTTTTTTTTTTTTTGCCCAGGCTGGAGGGCAGTGGCAAAATCACAGCTCACTGCAATCTTGACCTCCTGAGCTCAGGTGATCCTCCCACCTCAGCCTCCCGAGGAGCCTGGACTACAGGCGTGCACCACCATGCCCAACTAATTTTTTGGTTTTTTAATTTTGTAGAGATGAAGTGTCACTATGTGGCCCAGGCTGGTCTCGAACTCCTGGGCTCAAGTCATCCTCCTGCCTTGGTGTCCCAAAGTGCTGGGATTACAGATGTGAGCCACCATGCCTGGCCTCATTTCTGTTTTCATGCAATTTGCAAACACAGCATCAGAAGCCGAATACTGCATAATCTCACTTGTAAGTGGGAACTAAACACTGGGTCAACATGGGCATAAGGGTGGGAATGTCAGACACTGGAGACACCTGGGGGGGGACGGGACAAGCGTCGAAAATCTCCCCACAGGTACTATGCTCATTATTTGGGTGAGGGGTTCAGTAGAAGCCCAAACCTCGCCATCACACAATACACCCACGTAACAAACCTGCACACGCACCCTCAGATCTAAAATTTACTTTTATTTTTTATCTTTATTTATTTTTTTTGAGTTGGAGTCTCACTCTGTCGCCCAGACTGGAGTGCAGTGGCCGCTCCCGGCCACCGCAGCCTCGACCTGCTGGGCTCCGGCGATCCTTCCGCCTCAGCCTTCCAAGTAGTCGGAATTACAGGCATGCGCTACCACACCCGGCTGATTTTTTTGATTTATTGTAGAGATGAGGTCTCGCCGCGCAGGTGGGTCTCGAACCTGCGGGCTCAGGCAATTCACTCACCTCAGCCTCCCAAAGGCGCGGGATTACAGGCTGAGCCACCGAGCCCAGCTTATTTTTATTTTTATTATTTGAGTTGGAGTCTCACTCTGCCGCCCAGACTGGAGTGCAGTGGCACGCTTCTGGCCACCACAGCCTTGACCTGCTGGGCTCCGGTGATCCTTCCACCTCAGCCTTCCAAGTAGCTGGAACCACAGGCACGCGCTACTATGCCCGGCTAATTTTTT